TCATCATCACGGTGGAATAAACTGATTTGGTGGGAGGGTTTTAGAAAACAGTCATGATTTAATGTGGGTCTACTCGTCAAAATAGCACAGATTGCTTTCTGAAGAAAAAAAAAAAGATAGCCAAAGGAGAACTTCAATGCAAAGCAGGCATGCATACATAAATAGCAACTTAGAACTGAAGCACTGTAACACTTCTACTACAGCACCATAAAACCACATTATCATAATTAATACTCTTGGTGCTCTCTGGCCCTAAAGTCACATACAGACAAGCAAGGTGAGCCTATAAATTTTTTAATAGCCCTTCAGTAAACCAAGATGGATTTCAATTAAAGAACCACATTGTCATACCTCATACAAAACAAGTAATTTTATCCCAGAAAATTTTATCTACCCTAAAAATTTCATTAACAACTCCTAGCTTTTATAGGTTTTATACAGTAACAGTGTGGAACAGTGTGCAAGCTGCAGATAATAAAAATGCTAAAACATTCTTTACCAAGAAAAGGTGAAACGCACTTTTACAAATACTATCAGGTTAAACCTCTCAAACTAGAAGAAGGATTTCCAACATCTCTATCAGAAACTAAAGGACTTACTTCACAGATAGTCAAAAATTAAAATAATTACCTGAAATTCTGGTATGGTAGACTTTCTGACACCCTTCCTCTTCTTTGTGATTGCTTTTTTAGATAGTGATTTTTTTCCTTGTAAGATTAAAAGAGAAAAGCTTCATAATGCTGTTTGTTGTACTTAATTAATAAAACCAAGCTATATACAGACTTGAAAGTTAAACTGTAACTAACAGACGGCTTACAGTAAGTCATGTAAACATGATGAATTAGAACTAGGCTCAGTAAAAGCAAACATTAAACACATATCTGTGTAGTGCAGTCTTTTGGGGTTGGAGGAAGGAAAAAAAAGAAAAAAAAGAATAAACAAGAAGAAAAGGAATAAACCCATTACAATTCTAATAACATGGCATCCAAAAATTTCAGTCATAAAGGAAACGTTCACACCACTCTTCTGAAAGGAGTGAAATCCAGAACTTACGGCACAAACTTAAGAAATATAGCATCTTACCTGTAAGATTTGTTCTCTGACACTGTAAAGTGAATCACACATTAGGATCTGGGATCTCTGTACCGTATATAAAAAGATACCCTCAAAGCACAAGCAATATCTAGAAATGCCTGACTGAACATACTGAAGTTATCAATGAAATCAGATTATTGATTTGTTTTTTCCAGCAACAGCAGAACTTAACAGTTTTAGAAGAAAGCAAATGCCTTCCTATAATGCAGTTTACACTCACCTATGCTATATAAGAACATGGATGTACCAAAACATCCCTTTGACGGTAAGGCAGGTGCTTTACTGCCTAGAATGTCAGAGCTCTGACATACATTTCTCAAATCAAGTAGTTATGTCACTAAGCAATATATGCAAGACAGAAGAGTTTCTTATATGGTTATTTCTACATTCATATGGTAAATTGAAATAAGACCACTTTTAACTTGTTCACTCAGGGCAGACCATCACTCTAACATTACTACTGTGTTCACATGTGGGAGTCTTAAAAAAGAATTAAAACCCTTAAACAAAAAAAGAACTTGCAAAAAATAATAATAATTTTTTGTCAACTAGCATAATCACAGGCACTTGGTAATAACACAAGCACAGGCACATTCAATATTTATATTAATGCAAATATTGGCAAATATTGCATTTAAATTCTTCTTAACACATGTTTTCTTGTGTGGGCAAATGCATATGTACATATACATACATCTATTTCTAGGCATCTATTCTATAGGTGCCTGGGCATCTATATTTTCAGTTTATTATACTGTGAGTTTCCTGAACATCTTACCTGACTCTGAAATAAACACATTTAAGGGACAAGGCACAGGGCTTGAAGAATCTAGATCTGAAACTCCACATAAAATCAAACTATATAAAAATCACTAAATCAGCCTAGATTTGAAACTCCCCATACTGAACACATCAAAAAATTTAAAGAGCCCTCAATTACCAAAAATAAACACTTACAGATTTCACACTAGAGAACGAGTGATAAAACAGAGAGGTATGTTTATTAGAACAACAACCCAAACGTCCTGACAAGGGGCAAATAAGTCACCATTTTTGTTATGTAGTTTATGGATACAGTTGCATTGAAAACATAATTGCTACTACTGAGAACATTGCTGTCCATTTACTGAACTAAAGTAGACACGTATAACCTTTCTTGACAAACTGACTCAAAAAGAAGTCTGGTCGTATAGTGGTTCCTTGTAATAGCCCTGTAAAAAATGTTATTTGGAAAGAATATGAAAATTTTTAAAAAGGGCAGCTAGACTGCCTTGCTTCCTTACAAAAAGGAAGATTTGATTATGTTTAAAACGAAATTCTCACTTTACTTGAATATTGTAACGTACTTTTCAACAAATGTTTACTTGAAAATTTTCAGCATGTGGTGCAGTATGATTTATGATGCAGTGTACTTCAAAAAATAACAGTTAACAGAAATACTGTCTCTCTTTTCCCCAACATATCCTTGTGACAAAAGAGATAGAAAACTGTTAGAAAAAATTATAAACAATTAAAAAAACCAAATAAAATAAAAATTTCTTCCTTTGCATCAGCATCTAAGAAGTACAAAGTAGGAAAGATATGGGATAACAGACAGACCAAGAATTAAAAGAAACTGTCTAGAAGCACAAGGAAAATGAGCCTTACCTCCTGTGTAAAGTGGATCAAGGAAAAAAAAAGTTAAAAATAGAGTATGACATACGGGTTATCACAAAGCATGACACATGCCTGACCTACACAATTCCCAGGCTGGCATCTGCCCTGAGCTAAGCATATATCTGTACAGAGAAGCACTACAGTCTTCTTCACATTTTTTGACACCAGATATCCTATGGTGCAGGCGTTTTTGGGTATCACATATAAAAAATTAAGAAAACACTACAGATATTTGCACAATGGGAGAGAATTAATACATACAGCAAACTACTTATCACAAATTCATCTTCTACCCTAGTAACTTCCTCATAAAATACAAAATTGATGTTAAAAAGAAGTTGCACCAGTAGCATTGATAATCTTTTCCTTTTAAAAAAGCTTGTATCTGTTTTTCCCAAAATAGTATTTCTCAACTTCAAACATCTGCAAACAATGGTAACAGGAAACTATTCTTTCACAATCAGCAGTTAGCTAATAATCCATATGTATTACATAGGTGGAATATATCATGAAACAGTGTTTAAAAACAGAGCTTTGTAACCCAGAGGTGTGCTGGTTTTGTGGATTACCATCCAGCACCCAGACTTGGAACTTTGTAACACACTACCTTGTCTCTATGTATGATTGGCTCTACCACATCTGGCTACTGACCCTGTCTGGGGACAACAAAATCCCCAAGGGGTTGAACCAGTATCAGCTGGGAGAGGCAACTTCTCAAATCACTCCACTGAGGTCTGCTAGGGATATTTTGCCCATAATCACAGGTAAAGTAACTATTTCAAATGGCTTATAATAATTCCTTAGCAGATAATGTTTTTGACAGCAGCCAGATCTCAGTGCACTGTACATTTCAGAGCATACTCAATGTACAAATATATTTAATTGCTGACTAATAGCAACCAGTTAGAAAAACTTAGAAAAACCTAAGATAATGAAAATAAATATTTCTAATAAGGAATCTCTTTAGCTCACCTATTCAATTCAACACAGCCTGCTTCCTTCCCATGCCTCCAGATTCCACCTTTTACTAGTCATATTTTATAAAGCATGTAGCAAGAGTTCTACACACGGACAAAATAATACAGCAATTTCAGTACAAAAATTTTTAGAGAGGGAAGGGTTCCACAGTGGTTCAATAAACAGATTTCCATCTTTAGAGATCTTCAAGTTACATCTGACCTGCTCTGGTATTTGTCTCAGTTCTGCTCCAAACAAGGAATCAGAGCAGATGACCTCCAGATGTTTCCTCCAACCAGCATTTCTACAGTTTGTGACTTTTTAAAAAAGACTGCCTTGCACAGTATACATATAGTAACAACGAATACATAGGAATCACTAACTCAGGACTGCACTGCTCAGAAGGAAGACAAACCAGACAATGCTTTTCTCCAACCAATTTTGTTACACTTCTCCATAATCATGTAAGACTGAAATGAGAAAAACACTCCACTCTCCATCAAAACAAATAAAGAGTTTCCAAAACTAAACCAAGAAGTCCAAAGAAAATCATGATCCTGAAACAGCTGAAGAGGCATTCTCCTTCAACAGCTGAAGTACATGAAAGCTGTTGTTAGCCCTACCATCTTGAGGCATTAACAGTGGTCTCCCCATCCAGCATCAGCTATAACACTAAATTATGTTTACTCAGACAAGTGTTTGATAAATATTTTATAAATACTGATAAATAAATACTGATTTGTTCTTATTCCTTTTCCACTATTGAGCAATACTTGTGATAAAGATTAAAGTTTTACTTCTTTTTGATACAAAGTTCAATTTCAAATATAGTTAACACTTCAGGAAAAAAAAAGTGCTTTATTTATTGCCAGGATTATAAAATAACATTACTAGATTAAAAAAAAATCAACTGGTTTGTATTCAAACATACACAACAAAACTATATTGAAAAATATACTTTGCTGCAAATGGCACTGTTCTAAAGCTAGGAACTGTCAGCCTATACTACTGCTGTGTAACTTTACATCCACTCACAAACAATTTACTATGCCACAATTACTAATTATGTCTCCACACTGCCTTTTCCAACAGGCTCCACATCTCAGTTTGGTTTCAGCTCAGAGGAAAAGAGATTGAGACACCATACCTCAAATGGAAGTTGTAACTAGCATCCCTTTTCCCCTCCCACACTGCAGGAGAGGATGAGCTGTTTTTATACCACCTCCAATACTCACAGCTAAGCCACTTCTGATGCTAGAGAGTGGACAACTACAGACATCCCAGGTCAGATTCTTTTCATGTTCAGTAAATGAATCAGGACTGTACAACAAATACAGAGTACTTTTCTTTCTCTACCAGAGAATAAAGGGAAAATACACAATTACTTTATTCTTCAAGCAAACTACGACAAAGCTTATCCTAATTTAATTATAATTCAATTACCTGTGGATATAAACCAAAATTATTTATTGAAGTAAAATTTCTCTCCACTAACATGTGACCAACCTATGCCTACAGTTGGCAGCATCAGAGCCCAAAAACTCAATTTGCACATTTTCTGACTTTACCTGCTGAAACAAACTACTTGCATATTAAATTGAAACACAAGCACTGTCAAAATGCATACACTCTGCAGGAAAGAACAGTGCAGTTGTGTAACATTTTAGCTATCACACCACTGTTTTGTCTGAATGAAAACAAACCTCTCTTGCAGCAGAAATGCAGCAAAACACAGGTTTTCCACAGTAAACTTACTTAAGCCACCCTGTACTCATCTGCCAAAAAAGCTGAAAACTCTGTTCAGCAGACACAAGCAGCATTCACTTGGATACTGCCTTGTCCACCTAGAGTTAGGTGCTTGAAGGACAATGAGGGCAGAAACCTATATAGTGAGTATTAGTATAAACCAATATTTGAGGTCAGTGAAAGCATTGAAGTGAACACAAAACATGCTATTCTTCACGCTTGCTTTTCTAATTTCAAAGCAAGTGAACGTCACATTAGAAAGCACTGAAATATTTTTAGTGTTTAAAACACTGTATTCCAGGTTTCATGTATGATTCAGTCTCAAACTAAAGACAGCGCTTTATATAACAAAGTAAACCTAAACCAAAATAAATGGGTAACATACTTTCTTACATCACTGCTTCTTAAGAAACTAATTAATGCTGAATTAATGGTGACCACAATAGGTAAGGCAGAAGAAATATCACTTCCCTGAATCAATACTGTTTTTAGTTAACCTCTATTTTAATCTCAACTACAAATCCCAAGAGATTGGATTATTTTGTACTTATGACTGATAGTTAAGAGGTGGGTTTTATTGATTTTCCTTCTACATGGAAATTGTCATCAATCTAAATTGTCATCAAGCAACTTTTTAAACAAACTCATTGCTGAAAGTAAAAAACAAATCTAGATCTATAGATCTTTCACATTTGTTTCTTTTAAATTACACTAGTGCTGGAACATTTCCGTTTTAAGTTTCACAGGAAATCAACATTTTATTAACCAAGAGCCCTTTAGCTCTGTGAAAATTCTTACATATTAAATTTAAGTTCAGTAGGTTCAGGAGATGTCTGGCTGCCACAGGTCTTCCTTCCAAGCCAAAACAAATTCCACAGAAGTTATTACTGAACAGATGTGTAAGCAATTAACAAGGTAACATAAAAACTTGAACCTGAACACTAGTTACAAGCATCCAAAAAACACACTAGGGAGATTAGATACAACTAAAACATAAGCCTTCTCAAGTTGGTCTTGCCACCTGAGGGTGAAGGAGGGAAAACAAAAAAATAAATAATTCAGATCTCTTCTACTACTACTTTAGAAGCACAAAAATGAGACAGATAAAACACGAAGCCACAGGAATGTTGTTGCCACTTGTAAATGACTTCAGCAAGAACCATTTTTTAGTTTTCTACATTGGAATCCTTTTGACTTGAAAACAGGAACGTTTTTACAGACCTAGTAAAACTTTTTGTTATAAACTCTGATATTTGAGTCCATGTGGTTTCTTGAAGAAGAAAAGTAATGTTAATCCATGCTACAAATTATAAAGTGACAACAGAGAGCAATTTTAAACAAAAACTTACTTGAATAATATATTTTTTATAAAGATGAAATTTTTACTGCATATGCAGCCAAGTCTTATTACCCCAGATGGGGCAATGGATGTGTTTAACATCAAATACTAACTCAGTAGTATTTGCCACGGTACAATACAGTTAAGTTAGCCCACTCCAACTGCAAGAATTTCTGTTTTCATTACATTCTAGGAGCAACTCCACTGTTCTCAAATTGAAGAATAGGCTCTATATCTTTCTGTCAACAAATCTGTAAAGACACATTTCATGCCTTTCAAAGATTTGGCAACTACTGAGGATGTCCTATTTCCTCTTTAATCTTCTAATCTTCAATCCTGCTCCGTGCTCTCAACAGCTCTCCCTTTAGAAAATATAATATGGTACAATCTGGAAAATGAAGCATCATGATAGGGTTTTGAAGCTTCCATACTGACACAGCATATGCTTTTATACAGTCAAAAGAGCAAAACAGGTCTGGACAAGTGCCCTAACAATGCCGATTTAAAGAACAATGTAAGGAAACCCTATAAAACCTCAGTGGTACACATTTTTGAAGACACTAGCACTGAAGCTTAATGAATTGTGTACCTTGTTACAACTTGGTGGAATAGCCCTCAATGTTTTCAACATGATTAACAGGCTGTTCATATCTAGAGGCTAGACAACTCTACAACAAAGCTTTTACAACACTGAAGACAAAAGTCTTCAGAAGACTTTTGAAGATTAAACTCCCAAGGACAATAAACCAGGCCCTACAAAGTTGCTGCCAGGCCTTCTAGTTCATTTCTTCACATTGAATCAACACTTGACTTCATACACAAAAAGTACCGATACTCTAAAGAAATAAAATACACTGTGAAAGGTACTTTGAGCAGTAGACTGCTATGAATCTTTCAGAGCATAGAGTTTACACCAAGGTTCTTCTAAAGTTCTGTGCTGTATTGGTGTTTTCTACACCAATTGCAATATAAAGAGATTTAACTTACTTCAACCTTTGCTTCAGGAACATCACAGTTATTTCAAGTCTCTGGTGCCTCCTATTTTCTCAACCATACGCATGCTCTGAATTTCATCCAATCCCTGTTTCAAACATGCAATCACAGGATTCTCATACTTTGGTACTGTGCCTTGCCCTGAAACCTTTATTGTACCCCACAATTTACTTTGGCATAGCTGTCTTAGTCCAGACCCAACAAGCCTTATCACCATTGTCACAGTCCAATTCAAGACGTATAGCCTAATTTATCTAACTCCAGTAACAAAATACATTTAGAAAGGAATGCATAGCACGCAAGTTGTTTACAGAACTGCTCTCCCTGATTCTGTATTTTCACTTTATTCAGTACTACTCTGTTAATAATACTGCCACAGTAATAACCATCATCTTCTCTCAAAGACACAGACTCAGTAAAGTGGTTACACCTTTTCATAAATCATAAGAAAACCTTGTCATTATGGCAAAGGTCATAACATGGCTCTGTTCTCCAGTAAGTTTTCCTCACAATAGTTCTGGGAAGTTTTCAGCTAGAAAAACTGCACTACCAGGCTATATTCATGATGGGTATCACTGCTACAGCAAGCCAGGAGTGCGCAAATCATCTCAACAGAAATACAAACTGTGACTCTTACATTTAGCTGCCTGAGAGAACCAGAAGCAGGAAAAAAAAATTTTTGTTAAAAAGTAAGGAAAGGTACTCACTTTTACATTCCTGATGCTCTCTTCTACCCACTGCACTGTTTTAAGAATGTTGTAAAGAGTGATTATGGCCAGGATCAGATTTAAATCAAATGTTTTTGTGAATTCAGACCGGGTTTTACCAAATCTCTTTTTCTGTTCTACATTGTAAGGGAATCTTTAAACAGAGGATTTACATTTCAGCTGATCTTTGACAAATACTACTTAGCCTTAAACATTATAAAACATTACAGAACAATAAAGTATTAGCATGAATTGAATCCAATTGTATCCATTTCAGCCTAATAGGTACAGGATAAATGGACATTTAACATGTATCCTGTTGTTCCTATAGGAACAACAGCTCTTTCTTGCAATGCTGTAAAGTTTTAGGAAAATTTTCTCCAGCAAGGTCAAAATTTGCAATGAAGAAGTGGTCAGAATTAAGACGGAAAATGCCTCAACATTTTAAGAGATAAAGGACAACAGTTCTACAAACTAAAGAGGCCTTGTTTGCAATTTGGGTTATTATTCACTTCGCTTGGTTTTAAGAAAAATGAAAACAGTGACACTTTTGGAGAGCTAACAGTAGTGCAACTAAACGTAAAATACATTAGTTTTGCTGTATACAACATATATGAACTTCAGCTGCAACTTTTAAAATTTCTGTTGAGATGTGGGCATTGAAATTTTTTGGAAGGAGGAATCTGTGACTTAAATGGTAAGACAGTTTGTTGGATATTATGCAAAAATATTTAGGATCTAAATATTACTTGTTTCCTTAGCTTTAAATTTGAACTTCTAGTAAAATGCACTGACATCAAATCTAGGAATTTTCTTGCCCTTTAGAAGACATTTTGCTGTTATTCAAATTTTTCATTTTGGCTTTCCACATTTCAGATGAAATCCAGTATTATCTGTCAGTTTACACTGTTTTGAAAAGTAGCTTGTCATTTTGAAAAATATAATTTTTGAAGCAGTCTGCTAAAATCTAGCACAGATAGCTTAGCCCAGGACTCAACAGAATGAAGCTTTTATGGTGTTTCATATGACATCAAAAATACTACAGCTACCTGACAATTTGAACTGACTTAAAGACTTTGAAAACTTTACTGTTTTCAAATAGCTTTAAAATTTTCCAGTGAGTTAACTGAAATCTGGATTGTATATCACCTACCTGAAACACTTAGCTAGATGCTGCCCAAATCTGTAAAAAGAATGCCATCAGCATAAACTCTGTATCTCAGTTGCTGGATTCAGTAATAAGGTCCACAGTTAAAGCAGTACTGTTTGGTGACCTAAGACTCCACAGTTCCAGTATGAATGACTTTAGATTCATGATCTCATATAATTACTCTGTGTTTCTTCGTAATTTGGATAAGGTAATATTACCAGAAAGGGGAGAAACATTTCCACAATTGCTCTAATGTAAGACACCACAAAATGACTTCAAGTGATGCTCTCTGATGCTAACCAGTCAGTAACATTCATTCCTCTAAATATTTTTTGCAACAAACAACCTCTCCAAATGTATTATGTTCTCTAAATTCTGCAAATGAATCACGGTTTAATCAGCTGATGAGCCTGTTTTACATACTTTATATGGGAAACTTTCACTCTAAAATTAACAACCGGAATCTCTAATGCAATAAGGCTGTCCTATTTCACAAAATAAAATATAGACTTATTAGCTAAAAACACAACTTAGAAATCAGTATCCTCCTAAGTTTTACTACAGGTAAAAATTGTCAACTTACCAGATTTGTGCTTCTTGTGTTTTGCTTTCTTTTTAATTATAAACAACTTGTTCTGGAGCTCAGATTTATAAGATTTGAATGGATGAAGATGAATCTCACGTTTTCTTTGCAGGTCATCAAGTTTTCTCTGTAGATTTTCATTTAGAATATCCTTCAACTTCTTTTTTTTCTTTTTCTTCTTTTTTGCTAGTATCTTATTTAGTTTCTTATTATTTCGCAGTGAGTTCTCTAGCACTGTTTCTTTAGCAGATTCATGGTAACTGGTGTCTTGGTAATCATTGTAAGTGCCATTGACATGCACCTGGCAAGCTTTCAGTGTGTTCTCCTTGAAGGGACTCATATCAGACCTTAGTCTGGCCATTTCAGCATAACCTTGTCCATTCTCCCCATCCGTTATTTCTCTTGAACTAGAGTCACCACCCACACCAACAATCTCTCCTGAAGTAATCAAATTCCTCAAGTTCTCTTTATAACAAACAGTTTTCTTGATGTCACAGACTCTTGAGTCTTTGATTTCACACTTTATCTCCCCGGTAGGGATTCTAAAGGTGCCTAAATGTAGTTTTTTTTCTGGACAGACAACAACAGAGTCCATACTTTTCTCTACTTCTGTCTTGGAAGGATGTAGCAGTTTTCTACCAGCAGAACTGACCTCCCCATTGCTTTTGGCTACATATTCATGTTTTACTCTTTCTGATTTAATACGTGGTACTTTTTTAACTTTGATGGGAAGAGATGGAAATTCAGGAGCCTGAAAAGGTTTTTGTTTGTAAATCCGAACATCCGCACCACAGAACTGTGGAAAATGAACATATGCATTCTCCAAGCAGTCATAACCAAGAATTACTTCTCTGCATTCATGGATAGGCTGACCTAGCACTGCATCCTGAACATCCTTTTGTGTTTCATACACAAAGTCACAGAGACCTTTTAGCAGCCACACTTTTTGGTAGAATGGTAGCTCATGAAATGGTTTTTCCTCCAAGGGATTAACTTCTCCGAGCACTTTGAAAAACTGGGGACATAAGCCAAGTTTTTCTGCAGCGCCATTAGGATTTTCGGTCTGCCCTACAACAGTATACCAGTGTTGTACTTTCTTTCTCAGTGCTGCTTCCCAAGTCCTGTAAGAAAATGTCGGCCTGCGGTGTAATGTAGATCTGCGATGAGGAGGACTTAACAAAGAAGTCATTATTTTAGATAAAAAAACATTACACTGAGGCATCAGAAGACAGCGTTCCAATTCATAGAATACTATTTCAGGTAAATTTAAAATCTGTTGTGCTAAACAAAGAAAATGACCAATAGCTGGAATCTCCCACATCGTCTCCATCCTTGTAGGTGCTGCTTGAGCTAAAAGTGATTTTTCCCATTCTTCTATTTCTTTCTGACTGGCTTCTTCTGCTTCTTTTCTTTCTTGATCTCTCTGCCTATTAAAAGAAAGTTCATGAAAATTCAGACACTGGGTGAACAAAAAAAATGAGGGAGACAAAAATCAGAGCTACAGCATTACAAACATACTTATCTTGAACTAATGAAGAGCACAGCACATAAAGTTTTAGTTCAGTTTCTCTTATTTTCCAGTACACAATGCATCACTGGACCAAAATGGGAAATTACAGTCTTTTATAATCTATCACCACTAGTTTAAAAATGGAAAAAGGTAAGAAAAAAGCCTGGCATATATCAATAGTCTGTGTGGTTTAGGTTTTTGGAGGTTTTAAAATGTATTTCCTTCCCCAGTCTCTTTTTGTCAGGATTAAGTATTCATCAAATTATCCATATCAAAATCTCTGAAACAAATTCCAGGTAAATCTTGCTGTCAAATGGTTGCCCTGTGGCTTGCATCACCCTCCTTGTATTTCCCTTCCTCAGCACACAAGTGTACATGTCTAAGTGCTAAGTGCTTTATTTACACACATTTTCCCTCCCAGTCATAGGTGTGCTGGTTTGCAATGGTAGTTAAAAAGGAAACAAGTATTGGGATGCACAAAGAATGTGATGGAAAATAACACCAGAAATAAAATGTCATTACATTAATGAATGGTTTGCCCTCACCGGAAAAAATGTATTCAGTTCTGGTCCCCCTATCTAAAAAAAGGATAGAGCAGAAATAATGTGTATTCAGAGAAAGAGGCTATCAGTAATCAAAGGTCTGTAAAAAACTTCTGAATAATCTGGAGGTCCACACAAAACACCAGCAAGAGGAAACATGACAGCAATATACAAAGCTAATACAACAGACCGAGAACTTCTATTTACTTTTTTTTGGAAATTCATCATGCAACTTAAGGGCAACAAGTGTTAGAAGAAATGTTTCCATTTCAGATAATCAAATCACACCTAGCTTACCATCTAACTTGCTAAAATATAGGATATGTTAATTCAGTTCCAAAGAGGAAAATTGGACATCTGCATGAATCACAAGAATATCAAAGGTTACCAGCAACAGAAGGGATTTTTCTTTAATGCTCCAATAGTAAACTAACGTTTTTGCCCGAAGGCGTGACCAGATTCCAAAAGATAGCATTAGGATACAGCTCTACTTACAGGAAAATTTTTTTAGAGCTCATCCTAAGCTTCTCATATGTTTTTCCCTAAAACTTCTATCGCTGGTAGAAACAATGACCTGCCTACAACACTAATATGACCTGCGGAATTTCCATGTCCTTACTTCCAGATTGCTAGCCTCCAATTATATTTTTTTCATACACAAGTAGCGAATAAATGGCATGTAGCCATTCAAAGCATCAATGGCTTCAAATTCAGCAAAAGAGTAATAATAAATTAAAATCTTTCTGCTAACAACCTGAAGCTAATAGTGGCTTCAAGAGCATGTATTTGAAGCATTAACTACTGACTAGCTATCTCAACAATGTAAAAAATGTGACCAACCCAACTTAGTTCACATTTTAGTCAGCACTGGAGAAACATACCATATATATGCAAAATAACATAAAATACAGTAAGATTCTACGGAATACTTTATCTTATACAATTAAATTAAACTTCCAGTGAATTACTACTATAATTTGAACAGAACTTTTTAATACCACAAACACACATTCTTGTGACAGATTCATGTAAAGTATAAAATGTAAAAGCAAACAGATCAGTAAATTCTTAACTTCAGTATCCCAATGCAGCATTAATTTAATGATGTAAAGGATGGGATATAAAAACAAAATCCTATTTTGCAGCACAAAATCCCATTTGCCATTCCATGTGAACAAACCAATAAATTCAACAATACTACTTGCATAGGTAAAGTGAGCATTATTTTTATTCTGACTTATGTTCTATTTCAGTGTGCTAATATTGCTTTGATATAATAAAGAACAGAAAATAATAAATAAAAATAACTGATTTACATGTGAGACAGAGGAAGAAACGATACTAAGTAAAAAATAGTCTCAAACATCAATTTCAAAGCACTTTTGGATCCCACTCCCTCCTTCCTCCTAAATGTAAAACACACCTCTTAATAACCTGCTGCCTCCAAAAGGTGTGAACCCTATTAATATGGTATGGAAATAAGATTAAATATGAACACATAGTGAGATAGAACATATGTAGAAACAATAACATTTCAGTATTGTTGAGAAAAATACAAGCTGTAGGTGATCCAAAAATATCATCTTTGCAAGCAGTTTCGATTTATCATCAATTTATAATTTAAATCAAGATAGAATTCTCAAACACAATACCGTAGATTCACTTCAGTCTAGATAAAATTACAATTATTATACTATTTTAAGAATGCTTTAGAAGGTTCCTTAAAAAGAAAAATATAAGTTGTTTCACTTGCAAAAAGTTTGTCTTTGTTTTTTATAATGGCCAATCTTCGCGAGCGAAGATTTGGGAAAGGTCATTAACCCTTCGAGCCTGCGCAGTGGATTTTTTAGGTGAGACACAGCGTGCGCTGAACTGAGCCCACCCTTTAATCCTGAGGTTCATCTGCCGGGGCCAAGTAAGCTTGGACAGTGGCAGTGAGGGTCTCAGAACGTAGGTTTGTTTAGAGTGACCTTCTCTTAGATGGATTGCCTTACAGGGCTGACGAGCTCCATCTGCCCGGGGGGCTGGGAATCGAACCCGGGTCGCAGCGGTGAGAGTCCTGCACCCTAACCACTAGACCACCAGGGGCCCCTTTGTTTGTTTGGGTTTTTTTGTTTGTTTTTTTTGTTTGTTTGTTTGGTTTTTTTTAAACTGTTGTTTTATCACAATATCTGTTATCATTCCATTCTCAGCAGACATTCAAGAGAAAATGTATATAAAAGCACACTTTCATGTCTTCATTATTGAGGTCTTTCTGCTAGAATCTTTTGGAGGGCATAGCTTTTTCCTGCAGTGGTTTTTTTGGGCTTTTTTTTTTTGAGAGGATAGAAGAGAATGAAGAGGGGAAAGGGGATGGGGCAAAGGAGCAGGGATGGAGGAAGAAAGGGGGGTAGTCATCATTATGGTTAGGCTTTGCAAACGAAGATTTGGGAAGGGCTCTACTCACGTTTGTTACAAGTGTGCTGGTGGCTAAAAAGGCCAATACGAGATAGACACGTCTGGTTGCAAAAGGCACAGCAGAAAGACTCCTTAAGTGGTATATTCTACAAGGCACGATTCTTTCTGCGTTGTCTTTTCTCCTTGAGAGTGATTCTGTGTGCTTTCTCAAAAGCATCAGCAGCGCTAAAGATAGTGTGTCTCCAAACCTCCCAACTGGAGGCCAGAGTAGACCAGTTATGTTGATCAATCTGGCCAAGGCTGAGATGTTGTTTCAGGGAGTCCTTGTATCTTCTCTTTGGGGCTCCTCTCTTGCGGCAGCCAGTGGCAAGTTCACCATAAAGTAAGATCTTAGGGAGGCAGTGGTCCTTCATCCAGGAGATGTGTCCTGCCCATCGCAGCTGTGTTCTCAGTAACATGGCCTCAATACTTGTGACTGCTGCTTGTTCTAGAACAGATGTATTGGTCACATAATCTGACCAGTGGATGTTTAGGAGGCAGCGTTGACGGAAGCGTTCTAGGAGATGCAGGTGGTGATGGTAGACAACCCACGATTCGGAACCGTATAAGAGAGTAGACAGCACAATGGCTCTGTAAACACTGATCTTTGTACTTTTCTTCAGGTGTTTATTTCACCAGACTCTTTTATGAAGCTTTCTGAAAGCTCTATATGCCTTTGCTAACCTGTTGTCTATCTCTCTGTTCATCTCACCATCGAGGAGATGAGGCTACCTAGGTAATTAAACTGCTGGACCAATTTGAGCTCTGATTCGCCAGTGGTGAAGACTTCCTGAGGTGCAAGTTGATAGAGAACGTCTGTCTTCTTTAAGCTGACTCCCAGCCCAAAAAGCTCAGCAGCCTCAGCAAAGCAGGATGTTAAACGCTGCAGAGCTGCTTCTGTGTGGGCAACAAGGGCGGCATCATCAGCATAAAGCAGCTCCTGGATAAGATGGTTTAAGGTCTTAGTGTGGGCCTTCAGTCACCTTAGATTGAAAAGGCTTCCATCAGTACGGTATCGAATGTAGATACCGTCCTGATCATTGAAGTCTGCCGTGACCCTTTGGAGCATCATGCTGAAGAAGACTGTGAATAGGGTAGGAGCGAGAACGCAGCCTTGTTTCACACCATTAGTTATTAGAAAGGGCTCAGAAAGTGTGTTGCCATATCTGACTTGGCCGTGCTGATCCTCATGAAGTGAGCTGATCATTTTAAGGAACTTGGGGGGACAACCAAAACGTTCCAAAATCTGCCACAGACAACCTAAACGTTCCAAAATCTGCCACAGACCTTTTCTGCTCAACGTATCGAAAGCCTTGCTGAGATCAACAAAGGTTACATAGAGATGAGGATGATGATCAAGGTCTTCCTGCTAGAATCTTTTGGAGGGCATAGCTTTTTCCTGCAGTGGTTTTCTTTGGTTTTTTTTTTTTTTTTGAGAGGATAGAAGGGAATGAAGAGGGGAGAGGGGGTGGGGCAAGGGAGCAGAGATGGAGGAAGAAATGGGGGGTGGTAAGAGAGAGACATTTGCTGTTGGACTGAGAAATTCTCTGGACATACATATTTGGCTTTTATTTCATACTTTTATTCACATTTACCATGAATATGTTTGCAGACATGTATTGTGCTTACAGTCATAACAAAACTAATCTAAGGTAAAGCTGACACTTCCAGACTAAGGTCATATTCCCACAACACATGTGCAGGACTTGTTTCGCAGCTCTTAAGTGGATAAAGCCATGGCATTTCACATTAAAGCTCAGCTACCATGATCCCCAAGTAGAGATAACACCTAAAACAGAGTCCAGATGTAACTCCCACTTTTCTTATTATTTTCTCCTTTGAGACAGCAGACAGATAGCACCAGCAAACTCCTTCTCACTAGCAACAAGAGATTTCACTTGGAGGGGAGAGTAGACAATGATTAGATTTTACTTTGTTCCTTCAATTACCACTTCTAAGCTACGTAGGTGTTGATTCAGGTAAAAGGTCAGAGACTGGAACTCTAATGACAAGATAAAGAGAACTGTTTTAATTCTACCATAACTTGTTTCTACAAACTTTCTTTTAAAAAATGAAATCAAAAGTTATGTACAAATTAGCAATATTACACCTTATTCTAAATTAAGTCAATGTGTAACACTCAGAAGGTATTAAATTGGAATATGCCCGTGTAACCTTAATTCTGTATCTGTACTGGCTTACATCATATTATAACATACTCTACATTTTTCTCTAGGACCCAGGTTAATTCCATGCTAACATCCTCATAAAAATCAAAACTGACTGTATGAACATATCTTATTCCAAAATTTGCTAAACTAAATTACTAACTTGCAACCAGAATTGAACTCTTTAAATGTTCTGTTGAACAAATCTGAAACTTACCCCAGGATCATGTTTTCAGAGATGGTGAAGTTCTGCCTAGCATAACTTTCAACAAACCAAAGTTATAGAGACACTTAATTCCCACTGAAATCAGTTAATTAGCTGTCATTTACCAGCAGTTTTAAAAATTTCAGTAGGAATCTACCTCTATGTTTCAGTACCTAACTAGGCAAGCATTTCCAATTAAAAAAAAAATCCCACAATTATTTATTATTAACTGATATGTAAATTAGTATGTATATTGCTATGTATATGTATATTAGCATGTAACCAAACAGGTGAGTAGAAACTCACAGAAACGTAATTAATAATCCAAAGAAGATGATCAATATTCTGATAATTAGAACACTTGAACAAAAGGAAAGCTTGGGAAAAAGTGCTTTTGCCACTGTACAGAAATTATTATCTGCAAAATAATGAAATCTGCTTTGCAAAGACATCTCAGTTTCACATGTTGAGTGTACCATGATGAATGTGTCACTTGGGGGAAGTTGTAAAACACAGAATAAAGAAAAAATGAAACTGATTGTGCAAGAAATGGATAAATTGCAAGAAAAAGAGAACCCTTGATGAAGGATACCCATATAACCAAAACATGGGTAGAATTTGTAGGATTTCCATGAAGCTAACTACAGAAAAGAAGATAAAAATCACACTTCAGGATGTTCTTCCAAAATATGCAGTTAGAAAAAAGCTTGCAAAATCAATGTCAAGGATTTTGGGGGGAAAACAAACCCAAATTTTTTTAAAGGATTTATTTTTATTTTTATATATAATGTACATTATTATATCTATTTGTATATTTTAGTATTTTTAATTTAATTTTAGTTTTATTTAATACTCACCATAAGATGCCTGTGCCTTACAAGAGTATCTAAATATCTAGAGTAAAGAATTAGATATAAAATTATACTTCAACAGGCAACTTCTTTAGGTATGAAGCTAAGTTTTGTAGACAGGCCCTTGCATTTATAGCCTTAGTTATTTGGGACTGAAAGCATGTAACTCCTAGGCATTCTAAACTAAGATAATTACTGGCTAGAAAGTACATGCATGCTGAGGGTTCCACTGGATGGCAGAAAGGGAGCTTTTTTTTTATGTTCCTGACAACTCATCTGAAAGTGGGGTGAACAGCAGATGCTGCCTATCCAAATACAACTTATTGGCCAGCACGGTGCTTGCCAACTGAAATATCCAAGCCTGTAATCTTGCATTTAATTTTGAAAGTATTCCCTCTGTGCCAACCTCAGTGTATCAGATTTCTAAAAAAAAAAAAAAGCAGAATAACCATTTTGTCTTCTTAACAACATAATCTATACTTTAGTAATAAGCCAAAATAAGTTTAGAAAGTTGAAATATATTTCTGAACAAAACCAGCGTCCCATCTTAGTGTTGAAAGTTGCATTTATATGTACATGCATTTATATATACAACACTTTGAAAATTTATATACACTGTTATCATGTGATCTTCACTAGTAATATATTACTAATTTTATAGGTCTTCCAATTTCCAAGCCTTTTTCATAAAATACTACTAAAAGGTACTTTTGGAACATTTTTTGCGAGTTGGGAAGCAATTTATATAGAGAGGTCCAAATTACTTTGAAAACATGGTGGGATCCACAAGGAAATATAACTTAAGAAGATATCTGAAGCACAATTATTTGAGTAGCTCAGCAGAGTCAAAGAAATATTCGACCAGCTACTTAGTGATAGATTTTTATCGTTTCATCGTAAATGGTATAGTTCAACATTTTAGGGTGTAAAGGGACAAGCTTGCTGTGATCTTCTTCTGTTATCACAGAATTTTCTGTAGAACCAAGCACTGTGGAGTATTCTTTGCACAGGATCTGGGACTTTTGAATACATCCAGATACATGAATTTAACTGTTAATTACTACAGTGTTGCAGGAATAGCTTAAAACAGGTGTACGAAAGCCAAATTTTTACTTTGTCTGGTAAAATATTCCACAGACTCTATGGGTGAATTAAAATACAACCAAAATGGTTTTTTTTTCATAACAGTTTTATCAAGTTCTGAGTGCTAGAACAAAGAATTGAGCAAAAATCAAGAGACTTTTACCAGAGAAACAATAACACTGGTGATCTTCGCTTTTCTTTTTTTTTTGTGAAGTGTGATTAGAAGATGAGTGGATTAGAAAAAAGATTCACTCCTTTCTAGGGAAAAAGTACTGTCTAACAGTTAAGTCAGCCAAATAGCTTCAAATCTGTTGAAAATTAAGATTACCTGCAAAATTAGAGTGAATTGATTAGATATGGGAAGAAGCCTCCATAGCTTTGAAAAAAGCTAGAAACATTTTGCTTCCTAAAGCAAATACTGTCTTACCATCATGCTCCACCTTCAGACACATTCACTCAAGTTACTATTAAAATATACAAATTTACAAGCTTCTTTCTCCTCAAAGTGAAACATATTAACATTAAGCACCGCCTGGAATTATACACCTCAAAATCTGACAGATTTTAATTACGCACACATTCTGAAAGTGCTACCTAACTGACAAGCTGAAATGTCACATCAGTGAGGTAACAGCAGTGGCACTGGCAGAGATAATTTGCTTCTGGCTATCAATGAGGGAAGCAGTGACAAGATCATGGAATTAGATGTAGTTAAGCATTCTGGTAGTTTTTAATCTAATTGTTGCATGAAAAACAGTCCAAGGACATGGGTGATAACCTGTGAATGAGCTAACAGGAAATTGCTGTGGATGTACTTAATTAGTCTTAAAAGTTTCACAATCCTAAAATAAAAGCAGCTATAATTTAACGTAATGACTTCGTCATTATGTGGTGAATTCTATGACTTCAGCAACTTTTCCAGAAGGTGGTACTAACATTTTGCTTTGCGGATGTACTGTATTGAAGTCATGAACTTAAGAGCACAAGAGTTCCATAATATTTATTTACCTACAAAAGCCATAAGGAGCTAGCCCCTGTAGAGAACTAGGAAGACATAATTATTTAAAACTATAACAAAACGGTTTTTCCTATTACCTCTTTTCCTCTTTTGCTCTCAGCTGCTCCTCTTGTCTTAGAACCTGAACCATCACAGACTCAAACACGCCTGTTGACAAGCCTACTAAACTGCGAGGTGTGGAACGACGTCTTGTGGAAATGCATGCTGTTCCTTTCTCATCTTCCTGCCCATAGCATCCTCTAGATGTGACAGCTAATGACGTTTTCTCTCTTAAATGCCTAGAAGAAAAAAGCAAGCCAATTCACAACTATGACTGTCCTTACCAGTGGTGCTTCAATGCCTACCCTACCAACCATGGGTCAAGCATATTTACTCAGACAAAAGCAGTTACTTTTTCATCTGCCAGTTTTTCCACTTTAGAAGTTCCTTCATGAAATTTTAAACCCAACATGCTAAAATGCCCTAAGTTTTCACATCAGTTAAAAATGGTGGATAGTTACCTCAAGTAACCAAATATTATTTGGAGATTGAATTCTCTATATTAATCCATAAATATTTGGGGGGCAAAAAAAGGTGTATTTGTTGATTTAGGTTGGCGAAGTGTGTGTTAAACACCAGTTTAGTGCTGTTTAAAACTACAAAAGGTGAAAGGCAAAACACTACAAATTTGGCTGCAAAGTTTCATTTCATCCTACATTGTTTCAAAATACTCCATTAAAAATGGTAGAGTTTTTCACAAACTCTGAAAACATTTGAGGGGACAGAGGGGAAAAATCCAATCTCCATTCAAAAGCAATCTCCATTCTAAGGTAATTTTCTGTAGCTTGTACCATCTGAGAATTATACAACTAACATTGATTGATTCCCTTGAACCACTTGAAGGGGATCATTAAGCTAAACATTGCTCTGTAATGATGCAAGAATGATTATTCCAGGAAGTAGTTCTTCAATTGCATTTTACTCATAAAATTAGGTCTGGTAAACACTTAAAACAAATCTGACTGATCAAAAATTATAAAAGAACTTTGAGACTTCTAGATTCCATAATCCTTTCTATATATAGTTCTTAGAAACTTTTACTAAGCTAGCGCACACAGACATATTGAGTACATCTTTACAAATCTCTGAAGAGCTAATACAAGAGAAATTCACCATATACTGAGGCAAGATTATTTTTAGTTTAGTATTTCCTAATATTTATATGAAAATGACTGTGACTTTCTGAAATAATTACAAGGGCAATTTATATTTTTTTAAGTAAATACATATATGGCTATTTAGAAGACAGTGCATAAACTGACTTCACTTTCTTACATAATTTCTTATAAAACAGCATTGTGCATTCTCAGGTCCTATCGAATGAAGTGAGTAGTCACTTAACCAAGAGCCTTCAACAAAATGCCCATCAATTCAATACAGTAGAGATGCTACAGTCACACAACATACAGAAATGAACACAGCACAGATTTTCCAAGCTGCATTTGGTTATTTATTTGCCAGCAGTAACTCTACTAAGCCAGGAATTCTGATTTTTTTTTAAACCAAGTTTTACTCAAGCAAACTAACAACATGCATGCCCCATTAGGTTTGGCTCCTTCCCTTCTCACAAACTGTCTCAAAACTGCTGTTATACAAAAACAGTTTCAAATATATTGTTGTTATATCAGAATGCATATGCTCATTCCAGTTTCAGCGGAGTTCTGCACCACGTTCCTCAAGTGTTCCTACTACACAAGCAAGGTTCTTCTTACCAGCTGGCAGGTCACGCTCTGTGTCACTAACAAGCTTAAAGCTGATGGACATGTACACCTTTACAAACTTCCTAATACTGTTCCTTCTTCACCTTCACCTTTAGTCAAAAAAAACTTTTGGTTTTTACATGGAAAACACTATGTCATTCAGGAGACTGGTGGGCCTTTCATTGTAAGAAGCCACTATGAGTTTCTGATAATGACTGAACTGTGCCTATGACAAATTCATGAGAAAGCATTTACTTCAGTCGTGATTTAAACTGGTCTTTCTACCATATAGCTCAACAGCTTTCTACGTTTCAGCTGCTTTGGCTGATAAACAAGTTCCTGCTGGGGACTCATATCACAGTTTCCATTTTGCCATTTAAGACTACAGTATGCCAAGTACTGTCCCTCATTTTATGAGTATCAAAAAATATGCCATTTCAAAGCAGGTAACTTTAGTTCAAGATTTTACTCCTACTTATTTTAAAGACAGTAAAAAATTCACAGAATGTTAAAAAAAACAATTCTAAAGAGCCAGATATTCATACAGAGTTTAGGCAGCTTCATGACAGAGTAAAATAAAGAAGCATTTGACATCTTGTGCAAACAAGTGCGTCTCCATGTTCACAAAAAGCTTCTTTCAGGAGGAAAATCTTAGCCAGGAAAAGCTGTGCTCTGTTTGGCATTTTGGTTTGGAATTATTTTTGGAATATTCAGGTTTGGAATTTCCAAAGAGTTTTGAATTAAGATTTGAATACCTCACACTAGGAAACGTTCCTCACATGAAAGTATTGAGAGTTCCAGTATTCTGTTGTGGGGCTTTGTTTGGTTTGGATCGGTGTTTGTTCTCTTTTAACGGAATTTTTCACACAAAGAAACACACCCCCCTGTTCTACTTTATGTAAACAACATGCGGCAGGGAATCTACAGACTTTTCTACACCTACCGGGACAGCAGCGCCAACTTCTGCTCCAGCATCATCTCCAGCTTCTGGGCCTGTTTGGAGAGCCAGTGATCCACACCGTGCAGCCGGTAGCAAGTCTCCAGCATAAGCCGGAAGTCACACACGAAATCTGCTATCCCTGTGTACTGCCCACTGGAAAATTTCTCTTCCATCTTCAACAGCCATATTCCAGCTGGCAACTGCTGGAGGGACTGACCGCTCTTATGGCCCGAGGGGGAGCCGGCGCCTTCTTCTCCGAAGGATGCCTGATCCGCGAGGGGCTCCAGGAACGGCGCCGTCAGAGGCCGGTACTTCTCTAATAGGAACTCGCGCAGGATTCGGTATCCCTGCTGCAGCTCGGGACTCAGGCTCTGCTGCCAGGCGGTCTTCTCTCCGGCACCATCTCCCTCCTTGACGGGCTCCTCCATCCCGCTCCGAAGGGCGGCGGGCCGATCCGCCGGGAGATCTCCGCCGGAGTCCGTGTCTCCCGCCCCGGGCTGGCTCCTCGGCACAGCTCGGGCACCGCGGCGCTGCCCCTCGCCCGGCCGCCGCATCCGCACTGGGCTCAGCTGCGGACACAGACCCCGCTCAGCCCCCGCCTCGCTGCCCTGGCACGGCCCCAGCCCTGCCCCCGCACCGGGGGGCGGGACGCGCCCGCCGCCGGCGAAGCACCGCCCGGGCCTGCTCGCGGCCCCGCCCGCCTGGGGACCGCGCCCTCGCCCTCAGGGCCCGCCCCCTTCCTGCCCCCGCCGCCGCCGGCAGTGGCACCGGCGCATCCCGGTACCGGTGCGCGCACTTCCCGCCCGGCCGGGCCTTCCCTTCGCTCCCGAGGGACGGGCGGCGCGTGCCGGCCCCGCACGGCCTCCGGCGGGCAACGGGCGGCGCGAGCGGGGTGCGAGGGCGGGGGAGAGGGCGCGTAGCTCCCCGGGCGGGCACGGGAAGGGACGCGGCGCCGCTCACCCCAGCGCGCATGCGCGCGGCCGGCTGCGCCGGCGGCGCTGGGCAAGTGCTGTCGGACGCCGGGCGAGACGTGGCGTCATCAGAGGGCGCCGGGCGCGGCCGTGGGGGGCGCGCGGGTGGCCGTTGGTGCGCGCGCTGGCGAGGGAGGAGCGATCGCTCAGAGCGGGAGGTGGGCAGGGGATCTTATGCCCCTGTCCTTGGGCAGGGGATCTTATGCCCCTGTCCTTGGGCAGGGGATCTTATGCCCCTGTCCTTGGGCAGGGGATCTTGTGCCCCTGTCCTTGGGCAGGGGATCTTGTGCCCCTGTCCTTGGGCAGGGGATCTTGTGCCCCTGTCCTTTGGCGGGGCCGTGCGGCGTCGTCCCGCAGACCTCTGCTGCCTTGCTCTGGGGGAGAGATTTCCTCTCAAGACGCCCAGATAGCGGATTTGTTACCAGATGCCAGAGGTGTTCCCTCACTGGCGTTAGCCGTGGAAGCGAGACGGCAGCTCACAAAAGAGGCAGCAGCTCGCAAAAGCGCTCGGTTCTACACTCGGTCCTGCCTGACTTGCCTTAGGAGTTGGTGCCTGTGAGGGGAGGCTGCTCCGCACGGCGCTGACCTGTTCTGGGGGGTACTTGCAGTCCTTCCAGGTTTGCTCTCAAGCGCCTTCCGGTCCCGCTCACCCCTACACGACATCCCAAGGGACATTGCCCCGGCGACGGGGAACTCCACAGTAGTAGCAGTCTCCACAGTACTGGTACAAAGCAGCTGGGAGACAGTTACCTGTGTGTGCGATTTCAGTTTTTTCTTCTTCCACATCCATAACTGTACCAAAAGCTGAGGACACCCTGCTGAGAAAGAGGGAATTAATGTAAGGGGGCAAGAAAAACCCGAAGTTTTCCTTGATCAAACCTCTACTTCGTAGGGACGTTCTTGTCCATTCTCACAGAATCACAGAATGGTTCAGGTTGGAAGAGACCACAGAGGCACATCTGGTCCAACCTCCCTGCTCAGCCAGTGTCGTCCCAGAGCATATTGCCTGGGATTGTGTTCAGACGGTTCTGGAGTATCTCCAGTGAGGGAGACTCCACAACCTCTCTGAGCAATCTATTCCAGTGCACACTCACCCACACAGTAAAGAAGTTCTTCCTCAAATTCAAGTGAAACTTCCTGTGCATCAGTTTCTGCCCATTGCCTCCTGTCCTGTTGCTTGATACTACCGAGAAGAGCCTGGCTCTGTCCTCTTGGCACCCTCCTTTTAGATATTTATGCAAAAATTCTTCAAGATAATGCTCTGCAGAGATCACACCAGAGACCTTGCTCATAGTAGAGTTCTCTTGATGGGAGTAAATCAGAATTTGGAACATAAAGAAATCAAGAACCGCTCCCCTGTTGTTACTGTGCTTTCTCAGTCTAAGGACACCAGGAAGTCTCTGTTCCTTAAATCCCTGTTAGGTCAGAGCCAGCTTTCAAAATGCTTCTGTCAAGCCGATTTTGTAGAAAGGGCCTGAGCAGAGGGACAAGTATGGTACTCCAGCCAGAGTGCTTTCCCTGGAAGCTGTGCCTATTGGACAGAGGCTGTGCCTTTTGGACCCCCTCTAGCCCCATTTTCCAACACCAATCTACAAAGCCCATGTAACAGCCTATGCTCAGAAGTTGATCCCCAAAGTCCTGACATCTCTCCTGATCACTCAGTGATGTTACAGGTGCCCGTTTTTATTCTCCAAAGCCTCCTCTTGAATTGTAGACTCCAGAGAAATGAGGTCAGACACCATAGTGTGCACACAGGGTGTGGTGCTGGACCACAGGCTGCAGTGTGCCTCCACATTAGTGGTCTTGGAAGAGCCACTGTGCTTTGAGACTGTAGTGTCCATGCAATAGTTAACCCAAGTGCAGCCATGTGACCTTCAGGCCTGTGTTGTGCTGGGCATATCCCATGGTCACAGGATAAATTCAGCCAGCACAGTGCTAAAGGAGCCATGAGCAGCTCCCACATTGTACTGGCACCTCCGTGACTTTGCTTCTATCTAAAAGTGCAGCAAGGAGTCCTTATGCAAACATCCTTTCTGTTTGACAGTAGAAATAATAAAGTTGTTTTATTTTAAGAAAATCCTCTAATAGCTTGAATGACCACAGTGGGGTCCACAGACAGAGTCTTTGTGATGTGCAGAGAGAGACCCATTAGACCCATTAGAGACCCATTTGATGTGGCATTACACATCATTATGAAGTCTGAAATGCTGTAGGATAACAATTCTCTATTTCTGTACGGTGTTAACTCTAATAAATTGCATTTGAAATTACACTTTGCAGACAGAAACTGAATTCCTTTCTTGTACTGGGACCATAAGGACCAGCATGTTCTGGTGCGAAACAGGGAATGCTTTGTTGTGTTTTCTTTAATAACTTAACTCAGGAATAGTGTTCATCTTGTCTAAGTCCCACTCCAAGATGAAGCTGAAGAGCCATCACCAGAGGGACAGAAGTGGTGGAGGGAGTCTTGCAAGATGTGGGGAGATTAAATGAGCTATAGAAAAAGTATAATTGAAGATAATGGAAAAGAAGCCATTCAAGTTACAGTGGGAATTTCTAGTATAAATTAAATAAAACTAGGTTAAGATGGCAGCTCCTTTAGAACTTTTGTGCCTTTTGGATGCTTGGCCTGCAACTCTCACTTTTTGGTACTTTTGGGTCACTCAGAAAAATTAATCCAAACAGCCTCTTAGGCCTCTTCCAACAGGGCTTTCCAGCAGTGGCTTCCCTCTTTCCTTCAATCCTTGGTCTAGAAACATGAAAGGCATGAGTCTTCACAGTTCTTGAGATCAGTCCTCCACTGGATTAACAAAGGTCAGCTGTCCAGTAATCTCCAAAATAGGGCATTTCTTCGTTCAGGACTGAATATCCTTCTCCTATATTACAGCCCCATTGAAATGTCCTTGCTTGCAACCTCACCGCTGTGGAACCTGCTGGCAGCCAGACACTGTAAGAAACCTGTTAGCCATAGGAAATGGCAAAACAAAAGAAGGCTTACCAAGACTCTAGGCAATCTTTCTAACCATTTCAGTTGGACCAAAGATGTACTGTCAGAAAGAGAGAATTAAAAGTTCTTCTGGCATGGATACAGTGGTACTGCATCTCTTCTTAGAGAGCACTCTGCCCTGCATGCCTTGCTATATCTCTCTGATCCCTGACACTTATACCTATCTACAACTGCATGTGATTGCCCAAAATGTGGGAAGCGTGCTCCAAAGGGCGTTTTTTTCCCTGAAATATGACTTCGCAAAGACTAGAAATGGCAACAGTAAAGCTGATTTGACTTCTGTCAGCTAACTAGTTACCATCTCCCTCAAAGCCTGTAACGATTTCTTTGAGAAAACTGTCTTCTTAACGAAAGAAAAAGAATTTATGGGTCTCTGAAATATGCAGCTTTTTCAGGAGGAGAGAGTGTATAATGAAGTACCAAACCAGTATCTGTTTTTTACTTTTTTTTTTTAATTCCAAAAAGTTAGAATTTTTGATCAGTGCTCAACCTTTGAAAATGTTTTGTAGGTCTCCCCTGTGAGCCAGGTCTGAGATGACACGGAGGGTTTGATCATATGCTGCATATCTAAATAAATAAGTCCACTTGCTTTCAATGTATGTCCAGCTTTCAACTCCACTATTTTTGTACTTTTTAAGAAAGGCTTGTTTACCTGGAGGCTCATTTATACTTTCCTCACCAGTATCAGGTTGCATAATAAAAGTTGTTACTTCTTGCTATATATCTGGCCTTGCCTTGAGCATATGAGAACTTGCAGTCATAATTCTGCATACAATTCATAGACTAGGAGCTGAGGAGCCACAAAATGTGATGTTCAGAGATTTTGGTGTGATAACATCTTAGCTATACTCAGATCTGTCGCAGAGAACAGAACTTTTGGTCTGTGGTTATGAAAAAAATGAAGATATCAAGAAATTAAATTTCAGTAAAGAAAGGGGCCACATATAACAAAATGAAATAATATCCTTTATTGGGAACTCTTGTGTCACCAAAACATTTGAAATAGGATTTTTTTTCTAAGTATGCAATCAAAGTATCTTAAAAAATAGTAATAAAAAGAATTATACAGGAGAACATATCATTGTATTGATTTAATCTACAACAACTTTTATGTGTTATTTTATCTTCTGTAAAGAAAAAATTACATTGCATTCAACAAATGCTGTAATACACTATTTATGTACTTTCTAAATCTTGCCACATGAGTGCGCTGTCGAATAAAACCCATATACCATTCCTGCCTTAAATTAGAGGTAATACTCCTTTTCAATGTAACCAGTGTAGAACTCCTGGAGCAAAAGAAAAACACTTTGGAAAACCTATAAACAGAGGAGTTGTGTTTTACCATGTTCACTATTAATAATAGGAGCTATGACATGCATATCAGAAAAAAATATTGTTCAGAATAAATAGACCTGATAAATATTCTAATTTCTCTCCATACATCTGAATTTGGTCTCCAATTTTTGTAAAATGTCATGATAGAGATTTACATACATCTTAACCATAAAAAATAGCTGAAAGTCTGTCTACATAACCTTCTCAAAGACAGAATGTTACACTACATGAGCCCCTGTGC